AAATATTCAAAAAGATAAATCTGCACATAAAAAGTAAAATATTTACTATTTAATATTTATCCATTTATTAAATATTAACATACTAATGTTTACTCTGTTTAGCCCCCTTTGATGGGGTGTTCTAGACCTTCGTGAGGACAATCTCTCACCTTGTCCAAGTTTTCCTCGTGCAAAGACCTTTCTTTCAGAACAAGAAGCAAATCGTTTAATGGGAATAGTGAGGGCTGTCATTAAAGAGGAAAAGGAAAATATCAGCAAATCTGCTGAATCTTTTCTTAAAGCGTTATTATTATCAGATTTAACCAGTATTCGACTTATTGCTAAGGAATGCGGAGCACGTGGAATTGTTGGATTATGCAATATTCTACGAGCATCTGCTGAAACAATGCAGGTAAATTAAGAATATATTAATATTAATAACAAATTAATAAAATTAGTGACTGAAGATTTATAAATATATACATATTTAGAGAAAGGATAAAAAATATATATAGATAATTAAGTTAATATAAGTTAATATAGTATTAAGTAATAATAATAGTAATAGACAGAACAGAATTATTAACATTACAAAATTCTATTAGCTGTTAGTATTAGCATTAGCATTAGTATAGGATCTAATAGAAGGTTTTAATAATAAAATTTCCACTGAATTAATAATTTCAGCAAAAAAAAAATTTTTTTTACAATGGTAACAAAAAAAAAAGGAAAAAAAGTAAATAAAGATATAAATGAAAATTCAACTCCCCTAATGGATATAGATATAGATGAAAACAAAGAAAATTCTTGTCATGATACTGAAGAAACAAATAACAATGAAGATAATTCAAATGAAATACCCTCAAACAAGAAAGAAGTATGGGTCAAAATAGAATCAAAAAAACGATATGAAGTTTCAATATTGGCAGAAAATTTGCCTGGAAAAAAACCTGATGAAAAAATTAAAAATGTATATCACATTATTGATGATGCAAGTAATATAATTGGTGTTAAGTATATTTTCATTGCTGGAAAGAAGAGAGTAGTTGCTACTTTCAAGAACAAAGAGTCTGCAGATAAAGCTTGTTTAAAAAATATATTAGAAAATAATGATTACAAGTTTGAAAAAATAATTAAAAGAAACGAAAATTTAGATTGGCAACAGAGAACTATCAAAATTATGGATATCCCTTTAAATGCAAAAAAGGACATAATTAAAAATATTTTTAACAAATTTGGAGAAGTTGAGACAATTTCTATGAGACCTAGTGGAATGTGGTACACTGCGTTAATAACTTTTAAAAGTGAAAATACAATAATTGAACTACAGAATACATGGTCAGTTTCATATTTTAAAGATAGTATGAGAATCTATCCATATAAAGATTATCAAAAGTTTTATCAGCAGAGGAACTGTCATGTTCTTAAACTGACTAATATTCCTTTTGGTACTACATCTTATGATCTTGAAGACGTTATCACTGCTGTTGGTGGAAAAACTTGTTTTTTTGCCAGAAACAAAAACTCATATATCAGGACAAGAATTGCTTACGTAGCATTTGAAAATGAGGAATTGATGGCTAATGCAATGCACACAAATTATGCACTAAGAGAAAAAGAGCTATTTTGGACTACTATAAATGCTAAAACATGCCATATTTGTGGATCCCCAGAACATCTTGCTGCTAAATGTGAGGAAAAAGCAGACAGAAAAGAAAAACAGATGAAAAAACAAAAATTCAATGGTTTATATAAAAAATTTCATATTCCATTCAAACCAAAAGAAACCAAATCAAAAACATATGCTGATATAGCAAAGCAACAAACAAAAAAACAAACAAACAATATTCCTAAACCAATTACAAAAATTGGGGAAGACAACTTTAATAGATTGCTGGATATAATCAATACTTTAAAAAAAGATATTACACAAATTAATGAAAATATCAATGATATTAACAAAAAAATAACGTGATTTTTAGATCCATTAATACCATAAAATTATCTTTATTGAAAAAAAAATTTTGCATTTAATAAAAAAACAAACTTTGCTTTCGGGTATCGCTGGATTTCTTTATTGTTTCTAAATAAAAATTTGTTTTCTATTATTTATAATTTTATTAAGGAATGTATTATTAATAACAGTTCAAATAAGTTAATTTTTTATAGTGGGTGGGAAATTAGATCATGGACAACAAAGACATTGATATTAAACTATTCAAAGTTTGACCATGTAATTTCTTCTGTAATCATTATTAAGTCCAGTGAAATAATTTACAAGAGAGTTAAAATAATTTTATCAAAAATTGTATTAATAATAATAACAGTTAAAATAAATTGTTTCCTTGTAGGAAATTAGATTACAGCAAATGCAAGTTATTAATATTAAACTTGGCCATGTAATTTCTTTTGTCATTATTAAGTCTTGGGGAATAATTTACAGGAGTTAAAATAATTTTCTTTATTTATAATTTCATTAAAGATTGTATCAATAATAATATAATTGTTTTCTTGTAGTGGGCAGGGAAATTAGATCACACCAAAAGCAAGTTGTTAATATTAAAATATTTATATGATAAATTACTTGAAAATTCATTTATTGTAATTTGTTAACATTTTATCAGCTACATCTCTTTTCATTTCTGCTGAGTAACTAGAAACCCGATTACATATAGTTTCTACCTTAGGAATTTCATTATTATGAACAGATTCTTCAATAAGTTCTTTATACATATCCTCAGGTGTAAACTTTTAGATCTTATCATAATAATATGAAGCAAAAATTTTCTACTATTTAGTTCAGTTAAAATTGTCATTCCTAAACAAATAGGATAAAATTCTGAGCCATTTTCAGTAGAAATTTCGTGCCACCAGTGATGAGCAAAAGGTCCATAGTGTAAATTAAAGTCAATTATTCCTTGAGATGCAAGTGTTGGTGAAAATTCTTTACCTTTAGACATTTAAATAGAAATTTTATATTTAAACAATATACACAAAAAAATTTTTTTAATATATGAATGCAGTTAGCTATAAAGTTGATTTGATATAAAAGTATGTTTGATATAAAAAAATAAAATTTGAGATATGAAAGAATAATAAA